TTGGGATTATTATTCTGAAAATTTATCCAAATCAAATAAGATTTTTTTTTTTTTCTGAAAATGGAAAGAAAAGGGGACTTGTTTTACATTATCCTATTCTATTCAACTCAAAACATTTTTCCAAATCTATTCAACCAAAAACAATTACCTTTCACTCATTCCTATCTGGAAATTAATCCACCCAAGACTATCACCGCTGCCGTCGGCCACCACTGACCACCATGGCTGGAACGATGCACCATTAACCGAATCTAGCCCTTGATGGCCAGATTTTGGCCAAATCCAACTGTTAACGGCCAAATTCTGGTCGTAAATCTGGCCGAAAACGGTCATAACGGTGCATGATTAGCCAGATCCAACTGATCATGCACTGTTTTGGCGACTTTCGCTTGACGGTGGTGGCTGATGGCCGACTGTCCTCTTGGGTGACTGGGGTGCTTTAGTTCGTTTTTGAACTTTTATTAAGGGGGTGTTAAACTAAATTAACAAATGTATGGTGTTAAAAAATAATCTAAATATTTTAAGAAAATGTTTTCAAAAAATGTATCAAATAACTATTCAGTATTTTATCCAATTCTGATATAATTTTAAAATATTATACTAAACACATATTCAAAATCCTATCGTATTCGATTTAATCCAACTCAACTCAAGTTAAATCACTTTTTTATGATAACATTTTTTAAATAATCTACCAAAGAGACCAGTGGCGGATCCAAATAATGACTTGTGGGAACTAGAGTCCCCACTCAACTTTTGAAAAAAAGTCCATATCTTATATTTATTTAAATTTTACACTTATAGAATTATGAGATTTTGGGAACAGCCCCCACGATTAGTTTGGATTTTATTTTTGTAAAACCCAATTTTTAATCCTAATATATATATTTCATATTTTTTGTGATTTTTATTTTTATGCAAGAGGATCTGATAGTTTTAAAAGTTTTATTAGGAGTGAAAATGAAAGGAATAAGAATTGTTGGGTTTGCATTTAACTGAGGGGAGAAATCTGGGCATTTTTACATCAAAAAGTAATATGATGAGGTCATGGTGAGAATAAGAGAATCTTGAGGTAATTTCATAATTCAAAGAAGTTGTTTTACATATAAATTGGATTGTTTGTCAAAAATGAAGAAAGAGAGAGAAAAATCCATAAAAAAGAAAGGAAGAAGAAGCAAAAGAAAAGGAAATGGGTTAGGTCAATTTTATCCATTTGATTTTTCTGCACTTAAGTTGATGGTACTTGAGAACCAGATTGAGATTTATATTATTGACATACGTTCTTGTGATAAATTTGCTGAGTTACAGGGAATTGGTGATTTGGTTAAGAATTTAGTTCAGTTTAAAAGAAATTTTGCATACGTTGGTGTATAAGCTTGTGAAAGTTGCATTGGTTATATCAGTTGCGACTGCGACTGTTGAAAGAGTTTTTTCTACAATGAGTCTTGTGAAAAATCGGTTATGCAATCGAATGGAAGATCAATGGATGAATGATTGCTTGGTCATCTATATTGAGCTTGGTCATCTATATTGAGAATGATGTATTTGATACAATTGACAATGAGATGATTATCTAACGTTTTCAGAATAAGAAAACTAGTCAAGGACAATTGTAGAAAAATTGTTCTATTTTTACAAAAATTATGTTTTTTTTAAGATATTTATTTGTATTTTATAACTTTTTATTGAAGCTCATTGTAATAGGAAAAAAAAAATGTAGTTAGATTGGTTTTAATTTTTTTTTTTTTTTTTTTTATATTTTGCCCCCATTAAGGGAAATTCCTAAATCCGCCACTGAAAGAGACCCAACTTGTAGCAATGAATAGTAATATCATGGAATGAAATTTATTTTGTTGAACAAAATTACCCTCAAAATTAAATAATTATATGTGAATATTTTAGCACAATATAAAATTATCATAGATTAATTAAACATAAATCAGTCCATAATTTAATATATTTCATAAAATATTTAAATTGGAATTAATTATTATAAATAAAATTGATATGAGATTTATCTTTTTATTTTTATTTTTTAAAATCTTTTCTTTTAATTTCGTAAGATGAAACTAACGAGCAAAATTCTTTATCCACCGTCCATACCATCACCAACTGTTGATGCTAAAAACGCGGGAACTCTCTAGAGAAACAAAAAGAAGAAGCGAACATAAAACCCTAATCAAATTCTGATTTCTTAACGCCATTCAAATTTCTCTTGAGAGTTGGGTCTTCACGCTTCTTCAAAGCCCAAGTTAACCTTTCATATTAAGCAATGGAAATTCCCAAACGCTGCGTCTTGTCATCCTCCCAGGAAGTCCTGTTACGCCACAGCCATTTCCTTGGAGACCCTGAAGCGGAAGTAGAGAAAAACGATTCGGAAGATTCAGGAGAAAGAGAAACTCCCAAGGAATGCACCGGTATCATGATGATGTCACCTCCAGAAAGTTCTGACGACAACGATCAGAATGGCAATAATTCCTCTCGCGATGACGATGTTTTTCAGACCCCGCCCGAAGGTTCACTCATGGCCAGCTCCGACGGTAATGGAAATGATCGGACGGATGTCGTTAAAGAAGACACTGCGCATGGTTGTACGGACGGCGAGAATGCGGTTAATTTAGGGGCGGATACGGATGTAGGGTTTTCAGAGGTAGAGTCGCAGAAATTCGAAGGTGTAAATGAGGTAATTCATTTTGAATCAAACAGCGTTAGTGCTTTGAAGAGAGAATCGGTTACTGATAATAAATGTTTAAGTGGGTCTCTGTTGAAAAAACCGAAACTTTTGGATGAAAATTTGGTTTCCGAATCACCTGTTCAATTTTTAGATTCTGAATTAGGGGAAAATAAAGAAAAGATAATGAAATCGCTTGAGAAATCGAATTCTAATAGAGCTAGTCCCTGCAGTTGTGGCTCTAAATCCCCTCAAACCCAAAGTAATCAAAGTAGTGAAGGAAGTTCTGTGAAAAGGAAGCTGCGCTTTACAACTGAGGTTTTGGAGTTAGAAACTGAAGTGATTGATAGGGATTTAAGGTTCAGGGAAGGTTTAGAAAATAATACAAGAAATGCTAAGGGAAATTCAAATATAGGTCGAAAGAACATGGACGATATTAACAAGTTTAGGTATGTTGGTCCAAGTACTTATAATTCATGTCAAACAGAGAGAAAAAATCAGGGGGTGCGAGCTCTGCCTGTTTCAGTATGTGGGCAGCCGGAAGAAAATGCTGGGAAGGAATCAGATTTGGGAAAGAATCGTGGGGAGATCACTCTTTTGGATGTGTTGAGGATGCTGGCAGCAAAATGTGATTATGATAGTAGTCTTGAGAATAGAAGTATCTTAGATGTTGCAAAGAGCCGTGGCATGACTTTCTCATAGATAGTTGTTAAAAAGGTGGCTTGTTCAGTAGAAGATTAAAAAGCAATTTATTCTGTGTTTACTGCACAGTTTATGTAGAAATGTTCATTGTAGGAAATGGTAAAAGGGAAGTAGTTCTGCAGTGGGGAAATTGGTTTTGGATGGACTTTTGCGCATTTGGGAAACTGAATTTAGGAAGCAAAAGAAATAGAGAAAGTTAGATACTTTGACTGTGAATTTGTTTTTGTAAATGCTGCAAGCTTTGATGGCTGGTGACGCCAAACAGATTGGAGAAGGATTTGGAACATTTTGTAACTTTTAAATTTGCACTTGGAGATACTTCTTGTGGTTTACTGATTTATGTTAATAGTTGTGTACTGGGATTTGGGAAGCTTCATATGACTTGTAAAGTTAGCAGTTTGGGGGCATGAAGACAAATATGTACAGGAATTTTTGGTCCAAAACTTGATATCTAACTACAGTTGTTTCTTATATGAACTCTCTGTATGTTTAATTTGGTTTCTTTAGAGCAGCAGTTGTTGGTTGGAGTTATTTGGTGTGTAAAGTGAAGCCTCAGAACTCGAGCTTCAATTGAAAAGGAATTTATACCAAAATTTGTCAAAGAAGAAACAGGTAAATGGTACTTACTTTTCTTATTCTTGCCCTTGAATCAAGAAAATTTATAGAATAATTATTTAAACGTCCATCAGATTCTAGGCAGTAGATGTTAAATTGTGATTGAGATAGGAATATATTATTGTTATGTTAAATGCAAGCGGAATGTCGCTTTTCCCAAGTCAAGATAAGTAGATAACAGCACCAAGTTGGCCCACTGAAATGGCATATACATTGCAGCAAAAAATGGACAATCTTGACTTCTAGAGTTTTCTTGTAGTTGAGCAGGTTTACATCTCAAATGTTGGTTATCAATACCAATCCTTTTCTTAATAAGTTCAAGAATTTTTGTTATAGCTTGTGCTTACGTACCCATGTTAAGTATTTCGAGTAATATCAACATTATTGAATGAATACAGAGGTCAACAATCTGCCCCAACTGGAAAATACAGGATCCAAAATACATTTGAGATCTAATATAAATATAGACGTGTATCAAATATTTCAACTATTTTGCAGAAATTCCATTGCTCCTTTACATTAATTTAACACTCTCTCAAAATCTGCTTAAACAAGGCCGCCAGGATGAAGTACTGACTGATTTGTATTAATGGACTCAATTTATTACCCTGTTAATATTCCATAATTGTTTGTCCTCAACGCATTTCTTGTAAGCCTTTATTGGCAGGAAGATTTAATGCATAAACAGCCTCTCTAAAGTCTATAAGTTTGTACGATTTAAACAGTGGTTCATTCCTCCATATTATTGGCAACTAGACCAATGTTTCCAATCAAATTTGGAATGATAGAAAAAGATTTTGATGCTCTGAAGCACCTTAGAAAGATAGCGAGAGTACTCATAAACTTGCATTAGGATTGCCTAGCATTTTCTTCAACTCACTACAAAGACAATTTAGAACTAACTGTGCATAAATTCTGGCAAAATGTCAACTCCATACGCATCCCAAAAAGCTATAATTTTTTCTTCACATGGAAAAAGTGTGCAAAAATATAGCAAGCAAACCAAAGGATTGTCGCAAAAGTTACTTTGCAAGTGAAAAAACTACATTTTGCATACATAATTCTGAAAATTACTACCTCTACTGCATTTTTGAGCTATATATTACAATCTGTTGTCAACCTATACAAAAAACCCACCCATTATCTCTGAGCATTCCATATTAAAAAAGGTCAAGGGGAAAATAGCGCAACCAGCAAACCTCAATTCACAGATGTTTTTGTATTTGGCATGCAAGTATGTGGATCCCAGTCACAGGATCTGGCTGAAGGAAGACCTATATAGCCCTGGCAATCAAGTAACCGTTTGGCAAGCCCTCTTACGGTCGGGCAGGATTTGGATAAACTGAGCTACTACTAGTACTAGCTTGGCCAAAACTTAAAGCTGGGTGAAGAAGCTCTGCCTGAGGGAATGAGCTGTTGGATGGCACGTCCACCAGCAGCAAATCCTGATCAGAACTTTCATCTACAAAATTGAGAGATTCCAGCATGAGGGAGCTACTGTCAGTGGGCAAGGCAAATAAGCTTCTTGGACTAAAGCAAGAGCCATCATTGTCTATGAGCTCCTTATTTTCATATGTTGCCTTCACAATCACCCTTTTCGGGCTCTTCATCATATTCTTTGCTTCTGAAAGTACAAAGACATTTTTAGAGAGCAATTCCAATGTCAATTATTACAATTGCTAGAGAACACAGCTGATATTCCATGTTATATGATGATTTTTTTATTCCATGTGAAGAAACTTTACTAGTTCATGGGAACTGGAAAATCAAGTTATTAACACTGATTTTTCAAAGTGAAAAAAACACCACAATTAACCACCCTTTGTGGCCTAATGGTGTGAAGGATGGATTGAAGAGTTAAAAGACCAATGGGTCTTGGGTTCAAGTTGTAGCAAGGGCATGGAGTGGCCACCAATTACCATACCAATAAAAAAAAAATAAATAAAAAACCACCACAATTTCAGGCGTTAAGAGAGAGAGATGAATCAAGTTTCTGATGTACTGTCTAATTTTTGGGTGAAAGATAGTCTCTGAGTCCCATCATCTGCTTGAAACTTTACCCCACAAATCAGTTTCCCAAAATATTGGTAGTGGTGATCATGAGCATCAGGACCTGACGGAGTATGTATGCACCTCTACAATTTCTATCCTGTAACTGACCTGTGTCAATACAGGATATATCCTGCTCCATAATGTACATATATGTTAAGCGATGAAATCCCATCAACAATGCTTGCCAAAAGATGATTGGAAAATGTCTTATAAACAGCAATAAGGATGCTTTTTCTATAGAAAACTCCGGCTGCTGAGATCAAACCCTATATTAGGGAAGGATTGACTTTAACCATGTTATCAATACTAGTACATTTATATTAGTTAGATACTTAAATCCCTTTAGCGTACAGGACCCTACGTATATAGTCTTCTTTGGTTTCCCTTTTTTATTGAAGAGCCTATGTTGTATCTTACAACTTTGGATTCTCTATCACTGTCCAATGCTTAGTAGAGTATATGCCCTGACATGAAGATAATTAATTAAGCTTTATTTCATTTGATTATTTCCGAAGTTAAGCTAACCTGGAAATTTCTGATTTTGGCTGTCACGTGATCTCTTGACATTTAATACATTATTCGATGCAATGGCATTTGGCCCCCTTGCAACAATGGACGCTCCAGCATTACTTTTACATTTCTGCAGCCAAAGAGTGTGCTAATAAGTGCCAAAACATTTGCCAATTCACTGGAGAAAAGGTATAAATTACGGTAAATATTTCAATGCGATAATAACTGAACATTAAGAACTCAATTCAAACCTTGAGTAAATTATAGCGCTCCACCCATTTGGATGTCGTCAAATGGGAAAGTGAAAGCCTTTTTAAAGTCTTGCAGTCTTCAGTTGATGTCCCTTGGAATGATAAATCAAAGACACCTTCTGCAAGCAGTTGCTGGAAGGAAGCTAAGTTCTCCTTGAATTGAAGGCTATCAAACATACTTCTGAGGCTGCAGATGCAATGATGAAGCAAATGCTATGTGTCAACCACCACTCACACAATCACAGAAGTACACAAATGTGCATATGTATAATATGGCCATCATTTGGATTTTATAACGTGACCTGATTTCAATTTAAAAAAAATCAGTAGCCATTCAATTGGGTATGGAATTAAATGGAATGGTTTCAATTTACCAAAAAGATCTTTAACTTTGTCCGTGTTAATGGGGAATTCCTCTGTGGCAACTGGCAATTCAGCAATTTCCAAACAACATCACATGTTTTTTATGTCCTCTTAAAATGCAATTTATCCATAGTTTCATGAGTATTAACAATTATAAAAAAATTATCTATGTTCATTGCTACACAAAAAATAGAGAAACAAATGAGACAAAGATATTAACCTATCCGGGAATTTAGCAGTGTCAAGCGGGGGTAGATACTTCAGTAGTTGCTGCTGCTCCTCATTTGTCAAGTGTCCCAAAAACACCTCAAAGTTGAGAATATCCTGTACCAAGCATGCATATTGATCATGATATGTCTCAACAATTTTAAGGAGAAAATTATATAAGCAAAATGACAAGAAATTCAAGACACAGACAAGAGAGTAGTTAGGGTAGACTCTTTGAGATCGCTTCAGAAGAAATAAAAAATGAATTTATAACTTGGAAAAGGTTTCCTTAGTTATCAATATTTCAACTGCTCACTGACGAATTGTACACAGCAAATATGGATTTTGCTTACAGTAAAAGAATTATATGCAACTGTGCTAAAAATAATAATAATAATCTCACCACCCTAGCAGCATATGCAATAACTCACGTTGTATTAAGAAACAATGACTTTAGGAAACCTTCAAATATGAAGGAAATCCGTTTCGAAACCAAATCAGTATAACAGTTATATATAACATTAAGTTTAGGAAAAAGAAAAAGGTTTCTGCACAACCACCAAAAATAGAACCACAGAATGGAACTTACATTTAAATCTATATCACATAGTGGTGAATTATGGTTTCCCAGGACTTGTAATTTTTCATGCAGAAATTTGTCCCTGCAATTCCACACAACAGAAAAGTTAACCAAGGTGAGATTCTCCTTCAGTTTCAGAGTAACAGTTTCCTGAAATGTCCTTACTATTCTAACTGCCATGCTATATGCAGCCCAAGTAATGAAGTAACTCCACCCTTTGAACTTACCATACGATTTGTAACTCACACTAACCTTCACATTCAGTGTTGGTGAATAGCTACAAAACTAAAACAGCCTTAAATACCTACTGTCAATGTTGAGACATACCACATAGTTCATATTTACAGTTATACTGCATTTAACTTCATTGATGCGGTGATAATTTTAAAAATAAAACAAAAATTGTGCCGATGATAGAGAAAAAAAAAAAAATTAAAGGTACCAGTGCTTGAACCCTTATACAGAACCATCAAAATGTCTTTGCAAATTATGAAACTATGAAAGAAACAGTTACCTCTTAAGTTGATCTTGTTGCATCCCTTGTCCAAAAGGGTTCTTAGCTTTGTCCATGCTACTACTTGAAAAGTTGTTGCCCATGTTATAATTATGTACGGGGAGGGTCAATGAACGTGAATAGGCCTCATTTGCTGAGTATTGTTTGTTTTCAACTGATAGCGAGCTAGCTTCAGATTCCTCATCTCGAGCAATTGAACTTGGATGTCGAATTAAAACGCTTCCATGTCCTATCTCAACAGAAACCATTGGTGTTTCACTCTCAAAAAGCAAATCCTCTTCTGAAGATCCAGAGAAGTATGAAGACTGTTGTTCATGTAAAATAGTATACAAATCTTTGGTAAGCTTCTCCACTGGAGATGGCTTCGGACGATTGACACAGGTCCTCTTTTTGGAAGGCACCAACGAGTCCCACACATTTGACTGGGCTGGACCTAAAAGGAAAAACAGTAGGAAGTTAGAGGTTGCATTACCAAGCACAGTAAGACTGAGATTATTGAGCTAATTCCATCATTGACTAGACACTCGTATACTCAATCAACCAACTTCCAGCAAAACAAAATTCTGGAATATCAAAGCCATTTCATATTAAATTCATAGCATATTATTTTATGGTGAAGCAAACTCAATAGTAATGGTTTCATCTCTTTTCTCTTTGTAAATTTTGACTGCATTAAGCAACTCTATAATCAGTTTGGTCCATATAAGTGTACAATACTTCTCACTTTCTTTGTTCAACAGGAGAAACGAAGATTCATTTTAGTGTCTGCCCAACCTGTCAAATCACTTGCATCTGCACTGCCAAATTGTACACAGCTCTCAGAATTAGATATTGCTGAGCCAGAACTGGATCTGTTACTTGTATCTTCTTCAACAACCTTTCGAAAACCTTGGTTGTAATCAGGGACAAACCCTCCAGCTGCCATATAATCATGACTTGACTTTCGTTTGAGAACTTTCACGTCTTTGTTCTTGTTTATAGATATACTCTTTACTCTGGCAACCCTGTGATCCTCATAATCATCAGATTCAGCCCGCGCATGAAGTGGGGTATAATTTGCAAGTGTCCCCTTTGTCCTCCACCGAGATCCACATGCATTGCACAGCACTGGCTTCTCGGGAGGCCCATTGCGCCAAAGAGGGGTGCCTATTGAAGAACTTGTAATCAGTAATTAATATACGTTTTGAAAGAAAAAAATGTATACATGGTCGTGATTAAAGATGTAATATAGTATAAAAAGATGAACTACTAATCACAGTAGCTTCATTGTCATTTTATATAATTGTCATATAACCACGAAAGCACCAACAGCTATTTTTGGTAATAAACATGAGCTGTCATTTATTAGTATGTCCAGAAGCAAATGAGCTATAAAAAAGAACATTATTTCACAATTGCCCAGCATTTTGATCAACCACATATGCAATACTGGCAGGCCTGGCTTGTTAAAAAATAATGCACAACTATTAAGAAATTCATAGCAAAAACAATGCCAGAGCAGCTTGTATTGCAGTGAAACACAGTGATGGATCCACTAAGCCATGGCTGCAGCACCTCAAACCAGAACTCACTCTATTGCAGTGCCCTAGTGCTTTTAAGCATCTTTATAACTCTAACCACTCCAGAATACTACAAAGCCATGGCTGCAGCACCTCAAACCAGAATTCACTCTATTGTGGTGCCCTAGTGCTTTTAAGTATCTTTATTACACTAACCACTCCAGAATACTACAACGAAGGATTAAGATTCCATTGAATTCAGAGTTGTTACAGGAGAAGGAAAAAGTAAGAAATTCTGTAATGGTAGAAATCTCATCACTTTCAGAAGGAGGCATACATGGTACAAATGGATTTGAAATGTTCCCCAGTATATTCTCGTTGTGAAAATTTGTTCAGGCTTGGAAAACCTTATATCTAACATGCAGAGGATTTCAATTACAGTTCATTTGGCTTCAAGATGCCAATACTCACCCCTTAGGTCCCAATAGAACAAAAGGATTTAGGTTTCAGTCCTATCAACATAAGCAAGCTAAGTTGTAATTATGAATTATTCAGAAGGATGATCACCGAAGGCCATTCACCGTGGCACAACAAATACAAATGGTATCATCAAAAAGTGAAGGCATTGACAATTAGGGTGAGTGATTGGTGTAATTCTCATGAAAATTCTAGTGTAATATACAATGAAAATAAATTCCTTCATCGATGCACCATTTGGTATTTTTCTTGAGAGATTTATTTCAACAAAACCATTTATGAGTGTTTAGCTCCCCAAAACCTATTCAGCATTTTTAACACCTTGCCACATTCCAACTCCTAAGATTAACAATGGGGCTGGCACAAAAATGATGACATTTACCAGTCATTGGATCAACTCTTTGCACCCCCACATAACTAATTTCACAATGTGATGAAAGAAGATTAAAAGATGTATAGCATCTTCATCAGCACTTGAATTCCCCACAAAAGAAGATTTAAGTATTCCGATGACTACTAACACATGGACAAAAAAGCTGCTCTGGAATGTCTTTAGAGGTTGAACTTACTGCAAACTAAAGAGATTGATCCCGTAGAGATTTAATATTACAACCTCAGCTCTTCCAACAAAAGCATAATATACCAAGTTTTGAAATCACTAAGTAAACTTAGTTGCACTGACAAACAGATAGTAATCACTTTTACATTTGCAAAATCTTCAGGAGACATCTCAATGATCATTTAATTATATAGAGCTTTACCCAGCAAAACAGTTTACTTTCAAAAGATAACAGAATGCAACTAGGAACAAAAGCATTATACTGATTAAACACAAGGAAAATAGTTTAAACTTTAAAACAAAAACAAGAGTAGTTTTATGAATGTAGTTTCCATAAGCCATTGGGAAAAAGCAGACTAACAAGGAGTGACAAATCAATTCAAGAACCAATTAGCAAGAACTTTTCAGCCATAACCTATTCTGGATTCACTTCACTTGCAAAGAATGTGAGGAACTATCTATTATTGACCTTATTGTAAGGCTCAAAGAATTTGAACCAGAGGTTAACAGAAAGTACATTTTTTTTTTTCTTATATTGAATCATTCAATCAGCATATGAAAACTTCAATTTGACTAGCCATTTGGGTTCCCAAACAACCATGAGAGCCATTTACCAATCTAATTTACAAGTAGTAATTGCTCAATTTGGTGGAAGATAGTCAATGAACAATGAAATCAAGAAAGTAAATTTAAGAAAAAGAATTGAATTCAATAAGAAATTGGACTTGAAATCAACAAATATGGTGAAGAGAAAAGAAGCCCCCTAGTTGTAAATCAATACACAAACCCATCATCACATATTCTTGATTTATAAATTATTTACATATAGTTCTTCTCTTCCATCATAAAATTATTAATCCAATAAACATATACATGATATTTATTAATCAATACAAAGCAAAATAAAAATTAAAGAACAAAAAAATATATATATTTGGAAATGATTAAAGGGGAAAAAAAATGGAGAACAAGAACTCACTTGTAACTCCACAGTGATAGCAAGGACCTTGCTTACCCATGTCTCTCTCTTAATTTTTATTTTTTTTTAAGTTAGAAGGAAAATAATTCAGATGAAATTTTACAAGAAAAAAAGAAGAGCAAAAATTTATTGACCGAGTTGAAACAAAAAAAAAAAAAAAAATAGTGAAAATAAAGCTTTAATTTATGTTTCCCAAAGCCTTAAAAGGCATATACAGCTGGGTACAAGAAGGCTATTTTTTTTGTTCTGAAACAAAGCCAGAAAGCAAGTTTGCTGAAGAAAGCAAAAGCCAAAGACCCAGAGAGTATTTTTCTGAGTTTAATGTGTTGGTAGTTATAATTTTCATATATAAGAAAAAGAAGAGAAATAAAAAGATAGAGATGGGTATTTCAGGTGAAAATCTGTACAATCTAATGGAAGAAGGAGAAGAAAAAGAGCATTGAAAGAGAATCTGATAAATATTGGTGAAGAAAGTGAATGTGAAAATGTGAGAGAGAGAAGAAGAAGAAGAAGAGTGCTTGTGTGTATTGTTAGTATATATGACCTTTTGTTGTTGTATTGTATCTCAAGTAAATGTTCATCTTTCTTTTTCTTTTTTTTTCTTTTATTGTTATGATGTTATTTTAAAGAAAGATTTAATTTCACTCCCTTCTTTTGTTTCCAAAATAAATATATAATATTTATGTGGAAAGATAAAAAGGTGAAAAAACCAAAGCCAGTTTGTTTGGCTTCTTTTATTTTTATTTTGAAATATTATTTTTATGTTGATAATTATATGGAATAATCCTAAAGTCACACATTCGAGTGGTCACAACTCTATGTGTCAGAATTTAATTGGATGAAACCTAAAAGTAATCAACTAGGGCCCCACTTTTGTTATTTAAATATAGATATAAGGACGATTAATGGGTCTGTCACTTAATGAAATTTGACTCACTGTGATTTTAAACATCAACCTTGTAAAAAAGCTAAAACATAAACGAAAGGGAAATTTAAAAAAATTTCCTTCTCCCTAATTTATAAATTATTTTATGAATAAGACTTAATTTAAAACTGGACAAAAAATACTATGCCCACCCCATGACACATAGTGGGTATCCCATGAATTTGACTCATTTTGGTGCCATGTGATTTTCCTTCTTTTTTATTTTTTTTATTTATTGGGTCACCTTACTTTCTGAATAATTTGGTCCACCCACAACTCTAAAATTGTCTCAGCCCTCTGATTGAAATTCAATTGATATCAATAAGATTTTGACCAACTCGACGGCATCCTTTGGGGTTCACCAAAGATTAGGTCAACACATAAAAAAGTCTTGCCTGGTAACATGACCTGACGAACCTCTACATAATTAAATACAATAAATTTCTACTATGCTTTTGTGTACATTACCAATCTTTTTCGTCATTAGATCACACATCCACGCCGTCCATTCAATCACAATTTTTCTAGATGTGACCAATCACAAAAATCTTATATTTAAATAATAAATAAAATAACCTAATTTTTGAGTTAATAATGGTTAAGATAAATTTTAGTTTTCAAATTAAGGGTAGAGATTGAATGAAAGGTGACACGTGGAAGGTAAGCACACCAAAGTTGAAGATGGTAATATTTAGTGAGTGGTATAATAAAAAGGGAAAGAGGGTGAGAGTCATTGGTGGGTCCCAAGCAGAACTCATAACTGCTGGTCCTGTTCGACCACTTCTCCACTTCTCCTCCTCTTTTATAAGCAAATTATATGCTATGTTTGTTCTCACTATAACAACCTTCATTTTAAATTGGGTAATACTATCTGTATAAACTTTTATACAAAATAAAGTTTATATAAACTGACATGACATATCACAAAGCATACCATATGATATTAAGATTCACATAACTTAATATCACATTAATATCACGTGACACTCACATGGTGTGCCACGTCAGTTTGTATAAACTCTTTTTGTATAAAGAGTTTGTACAAATAGTATTACCTTTTTAAGTTTATACTTTATACATACACAGACGTGTTCTCACCCAAGTTTAGCGAAATAGCAAGTTCTCACCCCTAATTTCATAAATTTTATATTATCACCCTTAAAGTAACATTATTAGCGTTTTTTAGGTTTTGACACAGATGTAGAAAGTGTTATTATCATATTGCCCTTTGATAAATAAATAAATTAATTACTTTTTACCCCCAAATTAGTAGAATTAGAAAAATAACTACTTTACTTTCAAATTTATTTCAATAACACCCTCTTAATCAACATTCACATCATCCCATCTCTAACCACCTAGCCACTGCCATCACCTAGTCACTCGCTCAAATCCGGCATTGTTGGCCTTCCCTGACCCAACCACCAGCTTCCCTAACCTTTATTGACCAAAATTCCCAAAGTTCCCAAACCTCTCCTCCAACCGTTCGCTAAAGGGTCTTTTAAAGGCTATTACACTAAAACTGATTATCATTGATGCCGAGCTAGAACAAGACCGATGACAGAAGAAGTTTGTGGGGGACATTTATGTGACTGGCGATGGCACTCCCTCGCCCGGCTCAAGTTTGCGTTCTTCCAGGTCTGCCTCACCTTTTAAACCTTTCATATTGGTGGTGTTATGCTTTGATGGCACGGATCCACGCAACTATTGGTTTAAAGCTGAGCAATTCTTTGATTACCATAATACCCCTACCCCCCCGGCCACTGCAAAGTTATGGATTCGTTGTTCTAAGCCAAATTTTGACGGCTAACAGCTACCAAAATCCAATCAAATACCACCATTCGAACCACTGACCTCCACTCTAATAACCCCTATAACCTTGATGCATGGTTACCCGTCAATCGTCGGTTGTGACTTGCCACCTACCGTCGCGATTGGTTTATTCTTTTTGCCGGTTTAGTTTCAATGATGATTTTTGAGAATGATTGGGTTTATTGACTGATTTTGTTTGTTTTCTAGGTTGTTTCACTTGCCAACGGCTACCATTTGCTTCTCCTTTGTCGGTGCATACCAAATGCTCGACATTTTGCCCCACTCAACTTAAAATTTTTATTTTCATTTTAGATTTAATGAGATTCAAATGACCACTTTAACTTTTGACTGTTATAATAAACAATTTTCTATTAATTTAAGGATAAGAATCTGAAATTCATAAAACCAGATGTGATAACTTGCCATTTCATGAAACAGGAACATGTCATTTACTCTTATTTTATATATAAAGTTACTTTAGAGAACTTATCTTAAGAGATTAAACATATTTGTAGATGTGGGTCCATCAACTATGATTTGGTAGAAATAACACGTGGACAGCTAAGATAGTAAGACACATGATTGGAAGCATGTGGTGAAACACAAGAAGTAATGTGTCTTAAACTTAAATTGAGTAAAAAAAAAAAAAAAAAACATGTGGTGAAACACAAGAAGTAATGTGTCTTAAACTTAAATTGAGTAAAAAAAAAAAAAAAAAAAAAAAGCCGTCTTAAAGAGGGCAGAAACACCTAATATGCGGCATAACCAATGAACATTTATTTATTTTATTAATTATTCATATCCCTAGACGTTGTCAATGTCCATTTTATCCCCAATCTGCAACTAATATATCACTAGCCAACTAAAAAAATATGTTAAATTCAGATAATCACCGTCTTAAACATGTGTCTATACAAATAAAGATAGGTTGATAAACACTTCTCATAAACTTTTCTCACTAATGTTGAGGTGTCAACTCGTAATTAGTTAGCTCGCATTTGATTAAGTGAGACCCATTGTTGGACAAACGAAACGTCGGAATCTATTACGAGCTGACTAATTACAAACTGACACATCACATTTGTGAGAAAAAATGAGTGAAAATGGCTTATGAATGTAATATTAGCCATGTTTATACATATTGCTTGAACAAATTTAATAAAAAGGGATAAAAGGGTAAATTAATGTTGACAAATCTTGGATAATACACCAAATCAGACACACTAGAGACGAGTTGGTGGGATCTCTCTAAAGTGATGTTTTCAGGGAAATTCAATTATAAATATATTTTTTAAACATTAATTTTATGAAATTTGACTTCAATCTTATGTTATACAAATGTCCATGTTAATTACCCACAATATTTTGGGTGAATTATAAGTGTAGAAATCAAGATTTATCTTGCTCGATTGAAGTATAAGATTATATGTTATCATTTTATTTTTATCAATGCAACATTTCACGTAATTATATATAAATCTTGAGATCATTGTTGTGACAATTGACGTATCAATATTACATTAATTATAGAAAACATAATATCATATCATATTACATCATAAAATTCTACAATTTATATCAACAACCAACCACAAGAGTTGAGATCTAACTTTATATACATAATATTAAAGTTAAACTAAATATTCTATTAATTTATTTCCTGAACCTATTCTATATTTGTAAAATAGTATTAAAAGAATATAGAAATATTTTTGAAAGGTTTTTTCATCAAATCTATACAAAATGGTATATAATTCAGATATGAATTAATTTTTGTTAATATAATTAGATTCTTTAATTAAAGGAGTGTCTTTAAAAGTAAATTTTAGGGAGAAACACATCCAAAGAAAGAGCCAGTAGGCAAGGACCATGTGGAAGGTTCTGATGAATGAAAAATAAAAGAAATTGGGCCCCTCTTCCACACCACTTTATTATCAAAACAAAAACTCCTATTTATTAATTAAATCCTCCAATTCAATTAAATCAAAACGCCAAATCATGGTTTAACTCTGATTAATTTTCTTTAAATATGTTGAGGTATCCCTATCATTGTGGGTGGAGAGGTTTATTATTTGTTATTTTTGATATATAAAACTTGTTTACTAATTTTTTATTTATATAAACAATTCTTAGTTTTAATATATATATATATATTTTTTTCAAATTTATAGAATAAAAAAACTTGATCATTACAATTTTTATTGGCTTTCAAAATAATTCGCATTTTAACCATATAAAATTGTTACCCATTTTTATTAGATTATGATATTTTTATAATAATATTATGAAAGTCATACAATTCTCGAGAAACGTTTATTTCCAAATATTATATTTATAAAAGCTATTACAATTTACATGAGAACAAGCAATATAGAGGATCTTTTCTACTCTTTTGATAATTATGTTTTAGTATAATATATTAAATAACTTCACACAGAGAAAGATTTAAGCCACCCCAAATTTTTGTTCTAATATTCAAGGTGTTAGGCTCCGTTTAGTTTATTATTTTAATTTTTTTATAATATTATTTTAGAAAAAATAAAATTAAGTTATCTTTAGGAGAAAGGTAATTATTAATGTTTTGAGAGTTGAATAAAATAAAATTGAATTTTGAGAATATCGAAATAAATACATTTTTAGGTTTTTAAAATAGAATAATAGAATATGATAGGGTAATAACAGTGAACCAAATGGACTTAGTTTTTTTATATACTAGAAAATCGTTAATCAAGTTTTAACTCTGAAACAACATTTTGAACGTAGAGATAAGAAGAGTGAATTACTTGTAGATGAATGAATTATATGTTCTACCATTACATGGGTTAACATAGGATAGAATTAGTTTGAATTTCAAGACCCAAATTTCAAATTAATCTACTTATTTAGCCCAATAATGAATATCTTACCTTGTTTTCAATATATATGGGTTATTTGAAATAGTAAATAATTGGTTCCATATAAAGAGTAAATTATTTTGGTTGCAAAAAGACAAGAAAGAAAACGTACTAATTTGGTCAGTCATGGGAATGGGAAGATGAGGAAATTTAATTAAAGTAGTAAGGCATTTGACAAAAGAATGGGTGTGATTAAGTCAATTAGGTATTGTGGGCTCTGAGCAGGATTTTCACTTGATGGGACCAAAGAGATAAGTTAGAATTGTTTCATTTTTCATTAATAAATCAAATCAACCAACTTTATCTACTAATTAGTCATGTTACATTTCCCATTTTGAAAAAATAAATAAAAAAAAGTACTTTTGGTAAGTAAAAGCACTTCTATATATCCTCAAATTTGCACCAAAACAAAGGGTCGGAAAGTCAGATTTTGCAAAGTGATTTTCATTATTCAAAATCTTATTCCTCCCATCCCAAGGAAACATATCTATATTTGACTTTATGAAAATTATCAACTCAACTATATACGTGGGGTGGGCCTATGTTAGCCCAATGGGTAACCGACCCAGGTCCATGTGGATCAAGAGTCTGAGTCCCCTATGAAAAGATGTCTTTCTTTTACTTTGTAGTGAAAGGTCAATTTTAATAATAGTAGTTGGAATTATTGAAATTAATTAAATATATATTATTTTTTTGTGTGTGAGATTTGAATATTTAGTGCTCATACCAAACTATACTATTAGGCATTAGCTCTTGTCAATTCTATAATAATGAGAGGTATTCTTGTGTAGGCAAAAAAGATCATAAAAGTAAAAGCCCACTCAATAGGTAGATCCCTTGAGCAAATATATAAGGGATACTTTCACATTTTTGTATAATCCAAGTGCCCTAACCTAATTTTAATTTTTTAATTTTTTTTTATAATATATGATATTGAAAAAAGATTAATATTATGGAGAGGTGAGATGGGAAGAAAAGGCATCCGTGAAAGAGATTTGGGTGGTTGTTGATTGATGGCGGGCAATTGTATTGTATATAGAGTCTCTTTCCATCTCCTTCATAACCTTATCCCACCTTCTAATCAAACCAATATATTAAGGATTCGTCACCTCCAACTTAAACTTATTAATTTAATGCATTTTTTGGATTATAATGGAGTAACACTATTCAACATAAAGTATGTAAAAGTGATTTGATGTTTGGCCGGTGGGAAAATACTTGCTACCTTTTGTTACTATCGGATATACCTATACCTATACCTATACTTTGTTTTTAGTTTTTATCATTTCGGAGTTATTTACAACTCATCCTACATTCAAGTATTTTGATTATTTTAAAAGATTTTAACTTGTTTAGTAAAAGGGTTTGTTTCATTTCCCCTTTTTGAGATTTAAAAACCCTCTTAAAAATATAAAACACCTTACAAAATTATCAAAAACTCTCTAGAAATCCGTAGAAAACGGAAAATGATTAGGTATAAAGGTTAGGGAAGATAGATTGATGAATGAAGTTGAAGTTTGTGGATTGGTCGGTTAGAAGATGGATTAAAAATGAGGTCATACATGTTATTGTCTTGTTGAATAACATGACCATTGAATGGTCCCTACCTTGGAAATTGATTTCACCATAATTTACACTGCACTACACATTACTAAATCTATGAACACGCTTTATTTTAAACTTCTTTTGACCATCAACCCACATTCATGAAAAAATAAAAGTACCTCCAAAACCCAACACAACAAATCTAATCAATCCTTTCTCCCACTGGGATTCACCAAGTTTCTCTGTATGCAGTCCATAAACTGACCCGATTTCAGACAGGCCGGGTTTGGATTAGGCTTCCAGGCCCCATTCATCTTGTCCCTGTTTTACCTTTGAATATCTGCTTTTCTTCACCACCAAGAGATGACTCAGAAAGCAACATTACTAAATTGACAAAGAAACTTTTCAAAAAGTATGGTTGCTGAAAGATACTTGCATCAAGGTATCAATTAGCTCAATTGATTCAACATCACCAAGAAAAGTCAAATTTGAAGGAAAAAGGTTCCTGCATCTATCCACTATAAGTATACATACTTAACAAATTTCCATCCTACCTTAAACATGCACACACTAACTTCAGTTTTTCAGAGCTTTACCTTTCTATACATGGATTAAAAAGACAGTTCACTCTTGAATGCAATACGATCACTTATGCAAACTAATGCTCGAGACTGCTCCGTTTTCATAACAAACAATTTTCAATCCCCATTAAAAAAATCACAAGTACAACAATATAAGCTCTCTGTTGCCTATTTGAGATTGTAATACAAAATCTGATAAAATGTGCCTTTTTCATTCAGATATTTTTGAAAGGCCTCAACTTTATGGACTATGAAGGACCATGGCCAGAAGGCATAAACAAACTGATCTCAGAAAGTATGCCAAAAAGAACAGCTTTTTGGAACATGCCCTGTTTCAAAATCAATTCTTTATTTCTACCACAAACCAACAACATTCATGGAATTATCTCATCTCAGAATGTTTTTCCGTGGTGGTGGATGCTTGTTCCTTGGTATGTTCCTTTTTGTTTGCAATTTTTTCTACTTCAGCTTTCTCAAGCAAAGCCTGTTTCTGCATAGCTGCCATCATCTCCCTCATCGTCTTCTCCTCTCCTTCGAGCTGTATTTTCATTATGTACTCAGCTTCCTTGTCAATTGGTTTGAAGTAGTCTTCAATGGCAGCCTCCTGCACAGGAAAACAGATCAGAAAAATCATAAAGCCTCCATACTAATTATAAGTGCCTTGAAATTAAATGAAAATAACTAACCTAGGAGAATTCCTTAAAAAATTGCAGAAAAGTATCTTAAATAACTAGCATAACCAACAGAATTTATGAGTCTTACTTAACATGTGGTCTTACTTTAAAACACGAGAAAAATTATACAAGTTCTTGAATCAACAAGGATTAGCATAGCAACACTGAATTAAAAGATAAACAGAAAGAAATTCATAGAATCAACAGCATTTGAAAATTCTGGTTTCAAAGGTCTAGCTTTTTTATCATTTGTCAATTATTTCAAGCCAAAGGGATGAAACTTACTGTTTCTTCTAACTTCTTATTTAAACTCTGCATCTCCTCAACCATACGACGAACCTCTCCTAATATGGCTTGCTCAGGGAGTTTTCTTAAGGCTGCCTTCCTTTCTTGTGCCTGTCCAGAGAGGAAGAGAGGGGTAAAGCTTATTAAGATGAGCATTTTAAGCCAAAATTTCCAGAAAACTTGTGGACCACATTATCATGTGTTTATGACAATGATAAAAGCTAAAAGCAAGAAACCAATAGAATGCAATGAGCAAAAAAAGTTCATAAAATATAATGGAAAGAGTGAAAATTAAGGTAAAATACAATTTGTGATTACAAATGACAGTATCCTTAGACATAATCCTTCATTTCATAGAAAAACATGATTATTGTGATATAATGTTGGATATCTTGATAAAAATGAGAGTTTGGATAAGAATAAATATGCCAACTTTTGGAAAGATTCATGTTGACTTCCTGAGTTAATAAAACAAGATGCCAAACGAGTCTTCACGGTTGGTTTCAAAGATGAATATGTTTTTATGTTATTTTGTTTATTAATTATAAGAAACTAGAAATGTATTAATATTGATTGAAAGAAGAAAATACAAATGTGGACAGCATCAGAGCAGACCACAATTAAGGCAAAAACCCTAAGGAGGGGCATCCATCTCCACCTTCACTTTATACAAAGACAGCCCAAAAGCACCAGTCTAAGATCCACAGTATATACTATCTCCTCCCTTATCAAAAAAAGAAAAAGAAGTTATATCTTGGATTCATAACTTTCTCCATAAAGAAGTTAATACATTTTCTGTTTCTTTTCTCCAAGGAAACATGGTCCCATAGCCCTCTGTTGTGTAATAATTCGCTTTTTCCTGTTCCGATATGAAAATTCACTAGTTCAGGCCCAGGTAAAACACCAGCCTACAAGATCATATAGTCCAGAGTAGAGGTGGCAAAATGGGCAGGCTATCTGTAACATGGTAAGACCAGCCTGTTTATTGTATTGGATCAGCTCGGTACGACATGATAAAGTTTTTACTGTGTTGGGGGCTGGGCTGGGATGATATTAAGCTGTGTCCAGCCAAGGGGATCAACTAGTGAGTTGACACAACATGGACTAGATGGGCACTTCTATTATTTTTTCCATTATCAATTTTCAACATAAATTTTCCAAGAAATATCCAACATGTTCTCAACCTCCAATCTGTTAATTTCCTCTCAACCAACACAGCCCAACAAGTGTAGGATTGTGCTGGGCCAACTAAAAATTTGTTGAGCCCTAACATGACACAACACGATAAATACTGAGACACGACATCTAACCCATTATGGGCGACCTCCAAATGGGCTGTGCAGACACGACACCGATCGTTTGCCATCTCCAGTCCAGATGCAACAAAATAATGAGAGCAATCACAAGGCTTTAATCAACATGTAAACAGATCTTAACCACAAGCACATTATATGTGAGCAAACACATCGATAGCATTTTGATAGAACTCAAACAGGAGTAAAACTACAAGAAGAAGAACTTGAGGCATATTAAGACATTAAATCACATAAATCAACGGAAGAATAGTGATGAAAAATTTATGTAATAGTAAGTAATACCTGTTGGAGACGCTTCTCAAGCTGCAACCTGTAAGATCGAATTCTTCGTTCTTCATATCCAGAAAGAACTCTCACATAAAACATGGCTCTTCTACCAAACTCTAATAGCTTATCCATTCTAACTATTCACCAACTCAACATGTATGTATTCCTACACAAACATATAAACATGATTCAACATAATAAGCATCACACTCTACGAGAATTAAAATGTCACTTTTAAGTGACAATACCTTAAATGGCAGAAATTTTTTAACCTTCCCCAAATGCTAAAGTTGGTTGCTAACAAAATTCTAGTTTTATGGCGATGCTACTTACGGGTGGTTTTATTTGATGACCTCATTATATTACAAATTAACAGACTAAACTCAAACCATGTGATGATAATTTAATTCCCTCTCTATTTTACATACTCATCATCCTCTTCTTCTTTTTCTTCTCCCCTACTAAACCAATTTGCCCATCTACCCGAAAATACGTTTGCACCATAATTCATCCCACGAAAGTAAAGCATATATCAATTGATCATTAAGTAAATCAAATTTAACCTCTGAGATTATTAAATGATTAAACATTCATCAATTAGAGAACAATCTTCAATAATTTGCTACCAAGGACTTAATTCTTATCTTAAAATAATATATTGGATTCGTTCCCCTTAATTTTCTTCTGTTTTCTCAGCTTCCAAACACTCAACAATGTCAAAATTAAAAAGTCCCAATTTCACAATTAACACAAGAGACAAGTTTCAACTGAAATTTCCAAATCTAACTAAAAACAATAATAATAAACGCAAATGATTTCATATGGCAAAAACAATAACCCTAAATATAAAAATTATCCAATCTAAACACCCCACCAACACCCCCCCCACCCAAAAAAGAAAAATAATAATTAAGGCTTGCACAAACAAACAGCACTCAAAGCTTACCAAAATTTGAGCAGAAATAGAAAGAAAGAAATACTTAGAACGCGTCCCCTCAGAGATTAGAATTTTAGGATTAAGACGACGGTGAATCTGCAGCCAGGAATTGGAGAAGCCTTCGATCGAGTAGAATTGGAGCTTCAAAAACCCCTCAGTCTACAGCTTAGCAGAGAAAATGGTATTGCTCCAAGCCCAACGGATCATGCCTCAGGCCCAACGGGTTATGCATATAACACTACCTAGGAAATAGCTTTTATCCCGCCCAGCGCGACCACCCGCCCCCCCCACCCCCCGCCCCCCGAGGTTTGTTTTCCTCCAGTCACCCCACAAGTTGGAAACAATCCCTAACTCCCTCTGATATCAAAATTTTTATCAGACCCCCCTCTTCACCGTTTGTTAACCGAATCATTAGGTTTTTTTGTATTTTCCCTAAGGTAAAAGTCTCTAAAAAACCCCTCAAGTATATAAGGTTATAGATTTTTTTTTATAAAAATTAAAAGTAAGTTGTATTTGTTATTTTTATTTTATTTTATTGGAATTAGGGGTAAAGGGTAAATGAGGCATTTAATTGTTTTTGGAGTTGAGAACAACTTGGTTTTATTGGCAGGGGGTTGAGAACAATTTCAGATTTTTAAGGGCCTTTGTAATAATAAAATACATAGGGGTTTAGGAATTTTTGAATAAGAAAAATATAATAAACCTAAATAATGCTACGAACACCGGGATTGTGCATTGAATTTTTACACGGAATTACGTGTCACCTGATTTAGACCAGCCACGTATCACATTAAAAAAAATTTTCCGAGTGAACGACCGTTCATCAACTATGGACGGCTGTGCACTATTATTGGACGACCGTTCATTTTAAATGGACTCCCGTGTATGTGAAATGAACGATGGACTTCTGTTCATATTATATGGATGGGAGTCCATTTACTATGGACAGGTGTCCACCTATAATGGATGCCCGTCCATAGTTTAAATTTAAAAAATTTAAAAACAAAAATCATGGACTCGTGTCCATATTCAATGGATGGGGGTCCATACTAAATGGACGAGCGTCCACCTAGAATGGATACCCGTCCATAGTTTAAATTAAAAACATATTTAAAACAAAAGTAATGGACGTCTGTCCATATATTATGGACAGGAGTCCATACTGAATGGACGGGCATCCACCTTTAATGGACACCCGTCCAAACTTTAAATTAAAAAAAATTATAAACAAAATTTATGGACGCCCGTTCATATGTTATGGATGGGCGTCCATTATCCATACTTTAAATTAAAAAAAAAATTATAAAACAAAATTTATGGACGCTTGTCCATATGATATAGACGGGCGTCCCTATTAGGAAAAAAAAGTATATCTTCTCTTCAAACTCTTCTTCCTCATCCAGTGTCCAACCAAGAAAGTCAGGGGAGAAAGATGAAGATGCACAAAAGCGAAAGGAAGAAGGCTGTTCAATTGAGTTTTCTGGTTCGTAAACATTTTGTAATATAATAATGGACGCCTGTCCATATAATATGGACGCCCGTCCATACGCAAATAAAATGTTTTTTTTTTTTAATTTACATATTTTTTTTTTTTTTGTATTTGTAAAAACCATTAGCTTGTCTAATACGCTTCTCCAAAATAAGTACCAAAGTTTTTATAAGAAATAAAAAAAAAATAAAAACTTCATTTTAAACCTATTACCTTTCGGTTCATCGTTCCCATCTTTTCTTTGCATCTGCGTTTTTCTCGTCTGCATGTTATATTTAATGTTGTACCGGTTTCTTCCTCAACAGCCATGACCAGTTTCTTCCTCAATAGCCAACAAACAGCTACCGTGACAAGAAAGAAAGCCACCAATTTTTCATGAAACAATTGTCTAGGGTGGAAAGGGAGTTAGGGAGATCAAAATTTTTTTAGATTAGAAAGATTTGTTGAGGTACTTGAAGAGTTTTTTATTTAATTTATGCATTTATTTAGTTTTGTATTATATTTTGGATTGAATATATGTTACAATAGAAAACAACTGATAGAGAATATTTGCTGGCGATTGTTGTGAATCAAATTTGTGAATGAGAATACTAGTATTGGTTTTGCATGAAATTACGGAATATGGAAAAGTCCAGTTTGCCTCATTTCAATGATGTTGAGGTAAATTGTGCTCGAAACCTTACTTTTTCGTTAACATGATTTTAAATTTGTTGTATCGTATTGTTTCTTATGATGTGTTGTATTAGTACATTCTAATTTTGTCCATTATAAAACTATTAAATGATCATGATAATGAATGTGATGAATTATAATATATTTGATGTGCTGAGGAAGAAGTGGAGCCTCATATTGGAATGGTGTTTGATTCAGTTGATAGTCTGGTGAAGTATTACAAACGATATGGTAACAAAATGGGTTTTGAAGCAATGATATGTACGTCAAAGAAAAGCGATGATGGGGAGATGAGATACGTGACAGTGACGTGTTCTTCTTCTATGAAGGAGAGATGTAAATCCAAAAATACCTTGAAAAAACAACCTGTTGCCAAAACAGATTATAAGAGTTGGATTAGTGTAGCTTTGAATGGTCAATGCAAATGGGAAATTAAATCAGTTGTACTTAAACATAACCATGATCTTATAAGTCTGACAAAAAGAAGATATTTCAAGACTAACCGAAAGATACAACCTTATGTGAAAAGGAGGCTTGAAGTTAATGATGTGGTTGGGATTAGACTGTGTAAAAATTTTCAGTCATGTTCAGTTAAGGCAAAAGGTGTAGAGAATTTGACGTTTCTACAAAAAGATTGTAGGAACTACATTGAAAAAGTGAGAAGGCTACGACTTGGAGTTGGAGATGCTTTGGTAGTACTCGGGTATTTTATGAAAATGCAAAAGGAGAATTCAAATTTCTGGTACATGATTGATGTAGATGAAGAGAGTCGATTACAGAATATGTTATGGGTTGATACTAGATGTAGGGCCGCATATAAAGAATTCGGTGATGTTGTGACCTTCGACACAACGTATCTGACGAACAAGTATGATATGCCATTTGTTACTTTTGTGGGGGTTGATCATCATGGACATTTGACATTGTTAGGTTGTGGGTTAATTTCCCATGAGAACACTGAGACATTTGTATGGCTATTTCGTTCTTGGTTTGAATGCATGGATGTTGCTCCTAATGGAATTATCACTGATCAAGATAAGGCCATGCAAAATGAAATCGAGATTGTTTTCCCTAGTACAAGATATAGGTGGTGTTTGTGGCATATAATGAAGAAACCGTTTGAAAAGTTAAGAGGGTATAAGGAATATGAAACTATGAAGTTTGAGTTACAAAATATTGTATATGATTCCTTTACGCGTGAAGAGTTCGAAGAACGGTGAAACCAATTTGTTGATGTGCACAACCTTCACGAGAATGAATGGTTATATGGATTGTACAAAGCAAGGGTATGGTAGGTGCTTGCATTTCTTAAAGATACTTTCTCGGCAGGTATGTCTACTACCCAACGTAGCGAAAGTATGCATGCATTTTTTGATGGATATGTAAATTCCAAAACTACTTTGAAACAATTTGTGGAACAATGTGATAATGCATTGGGAGATAAAGTAGAAAAAGAAAGGGAGGCTGATTTTAGATCTTTCAAATTTTGGATACCATGCATAACTAATTACCCTATTGAGAAACCATTTCAAAGTGCATGCACAACTGCAAAGTTTAAAGAGTTTCAAGAAAAGATTGAGGGGAAGATTTATTGTGAATTATCTTTTTTGAAAAAGTGTGATTCATACGAGGAGTATCAAGTTTTAGAAGATGTTTGGTTTGGAGATAGTAGTCGCCGTGTTCCCTATGCTGTATACTTTGAAGAAAGTTCATGTGATATTCGTTGTACTTGTCATTTGTTTGAGTTCAGGGGGATTTTATGCAGACGTGCCATTATTGTGTTGATTCATAAAAGGGTTTCACACGTTCTGAAAAAGTACATTTTACGACATTGGAGGAAAAATATAAACAGATGTCATACGAAAATTAAGGTGAGTTATAATAGGTGGAGCACCAATGTTGAAGAACAACGTTTTGATAAGTTGTCTAATATAATGCTGACAGTAGCCGATATGGCATCAAATAATGAGGAAGATTGTAATATGTTGATGGAATTTATGATTGACATGAGAAAAAAGTTGGAGCAAAAAGAAAGTGAGAGAGGGCTTGGTAAAAAAGTAAACATCTCTTCCACAACCGGTTTGAGTAGTAAAGATGGGGACAGTCCTCCAAAAGAGGGGAATAGTCTAATTATTAGTCCACAAGTAGTTCATAGCAAATGTCGTCCTCCATATAGAAGAAAGCAATCGAATGTTGAAGAAATTGTATGTAGGGTTAAAAATAAAAAATTACGAAAACAAAGAATTGGTGTGAGCTATACACCTATTCTTACATGATATTTGTTTTTGAAACATTATTTACTTATTTGAAGTTTATAATAATATCGACTTGATTATTAATGTGTTATGCTACTTTTTATGAAAATGATCATCAGTAGAGCGAGAAAAGGAACAGTTTCTTTCATCAACTTCCCTGGCCAATACCCTCCCATATGATTACATCAACATTGTTGAAAGTATACCGAAAAATCAAGTGTTGTCGAATGATGTTGTTGCTACCCAGCTATGTGTTATGTATGTTGTATAATTGTCATAGGCTTAAGTTTTCTATAATGTGTGCTAAATTGTGGTTGTTAAACATTGACAGTTGTCCACTGGTCCGGTTTAGAATCTTGTAGGAAAAAGTAATTTCTTTATTGGGTAGGAGTTTGTAAATGATGAACATGTTTCGTTGGGAGAGATTTGATGTTGTTGATAGGTTGAAGCATATAGAATTGTATTTGGTAGAAAATATTCACGCTTTGGTTAATTTTTGATGAATGCAGTTGAGTTGTATGCTGATTCAGTTGTTTTATTTTTAGTATTTTGGTTGTTGATTGTGTAAGAGTAGGCTATCTGCTGTAGGGTTGTGAATTCATGATAATGACTTTAATATAACTTATTATGAATGTTTTCAGTATATATTATCGTCGCATTGCAGACTGTTTTTTAACCGGTTGTAGATGAAATTTTGGATATGCATTTCATTTGAGATTTGAATTTTGATGTCTTTTGGTAAGTCTAGTATTACATATACATATGCATTCAAAAGAGTAGTTGAGATATGTATAAACAAAAGGCAAATATATTTATAA